TCAATAAAGTCCCTTTTTTAATGAGTCCATTTGAAAAACATTTGAGATTTCAAGCACATATTTTAAACAAAGCATTTGAGTCTTTAATGTATAAAGGATACATGAAAAAAATGGCTGTCCTAATTTACCTGTCAAAATCATTGCACTTTAAAAGTCAAATCTTGAGCATTGCAAGGTATTGCAAGAATCTTAACAAAAATAAATCTTTTTGCTCCTTGCAGCTAGATACAGCTGCAAGTAGCCTCTTTCCATTTGTGTATAAATAATCCCTAGTGACGGCTGGAGTAGTCCTGTTAAGCCTTTCTTCCTCAGTTATGCCCTGCATCTGACAAACCAAACCAGAGAATGCTTTCATCCCAGAAATCTTGCCTATTATTTCAGGTGGAGGTAGGCTGCACAGGAATTGTTTGGGGTTTTTTTCAGTGGTGGCATGGGCTAAGTATACACACAGTAAAATGTTTTTAAAATAGGATTTACTACGACTTGCAAAGAAGAAAAGAAAGAAGGTAAAAGGAGGGTTGGAAAAACAAGGTCATTGTAAATTCTGGGGGTTTTTAAATAAAAATTGGATTCCAATGGCAGGCAGCAGAGCCCCATCCAGTCAGGTTTAACTGGCAGCCTTCCAAAGGCAAGATGAAAGGTCCTCTGAGTAGTAATTGTCTAAATGGAACAGACTCTGGTTATTGTGCAACTTCTTCATCTACTTTATTGTACCTCTATAATTAAATGATGAAATTCCCTTTTTTCCTTTCTCGTTTTCCTCTCAACTACTGCAGGAAAGCATCTGAGCAGCATTGCCATGGGATGCAGGCAGACTCTGTGGCTCCCCATTTTTTATCTGGCTCACTACAAGTTGTGCACAAGGAGTTGTGAGCTGCTGGTTGCCAAAGCAGGACATAAACTCTGCCTTCTCCAGACACTCGCCTGCATTCCAGCTCCCTGCTTGCTCAGTCCTGGAGTTGGTTGGCTCCCTCAGAGTTGTTAGGGGTGAGGGATTGCTGCTTTTGCTAGAAACTCCAAGGTAAACAGGAAAACAGTGGATCTGGTAGGAGAGGATGAGCTCTGTGCTCAAAGGGGCCTCCAGCAGCAAAGGCTATTCAGTTTGTGAAGGAGACTGGAGAAACACCTGAGAATTGGAAGGGTTTTAGAATATTGTGCTGAACAACCCCAGAGCCAGCATTGCCTGACTCTGCAAGGCTTTAGGGATCAGGAGTGAAACTCTGGTCCTGAGATTCTGAAAGGCTCAATCAGATGTGAAAGCAGAGTCAGAGGAACAGCTCTGTTAGCTTTCCTTTTCACTGGTCCTTCTGTATCAGAGTGCTTCCCCTCAGTCCAAACAGTCCATTCCCAGAAATATAGATTATTCAGCAGAGGACAAGTTAGCAAGACTGAGACCTCAGTTTGCATGTTCAACTCCAATAACTTCTTTACTGATTGTAATTTCTGTTGTTTCTGATTTGATTTTTTTTTTTCATCATGTCAAAGAGAAGAAATGAACTGCCTAATTTTGTTGCAGCTTTAGAATACTCCTCAAGTCTTTGGTCTCATGCTAGTCTGCCTCTCCTTGAGTATTCTTACTTGTGACAATCTCTTTTAATTCACTGCCTATTTACCTAATTGTCTTATTTTAAAACATGCACATGGGTTCTATGGAAATACAAAAAAAAGTACAGGGGAAATAAAAATAGGACCAACTATTTTGTATATGTACTGCTATCAATTATACCTATATATAAGAAACCTGAAGCAACAGATCTCCAGCTTTTCTAGCAATATCGAACATTAAGGTCTTGATTTATTTCCCAGAAAGTAAAAATTAATAAACACAGAATAGAATTACAGAAGTGACCCAACCTATTCAGGAAGAGAACTGGTTTTTAAAATCACTGATATCAGAATATTGCCAAGTACCACAGTTCCTGATCCTGCCACAAGCCATTGCCTATAGCTTGTATTAATTTCAGCAGAGTTCATAAGCAGAATAACTGCAGGGTATTTGCAAAGCTAGTTAGGCTCTTAATGACCATTTTTTGTTATACTTTGATAGACAAATCTCAATAGACCATTCTCAATACTGGAAGTCTTGCCCAGGGAAAAATGTAGGATCTGTTTTAAACTAAGTGGATCACAGATTCTGTCCAGCTTTAAAAGCAAACAAACAAAAAACCAAAACAATAAAATTTACATTCAATTATGTTTAACATTACACACCATATTTGAGGCCAGAGCCTGCATTAGTTTATCCACTTCTGCAAGAGGTGTATTACATTAAATTAACATCGGAATAAGAGTTAAAGCTATATGTCCATCCTCTTTTATAACTTATCTGCCCTGGATCTCATAGAGAGCGATTTCATCTGTGCAAGGATATGTGTCCCAGTCAGGTTATTTGAACACTACACAGGGAATATCTGCAGCCCCTCACACCTGCACATGACATACTCTGTCCACACACCCATCCCTGCAGCCCCTAAACCCCAAAAAAGGATCTGTCATGGAAGTGAAAACTACTTTTAGTTTTTACCTTCATGATATATCCTGCTGGTATGTACCTGGAATACCTGCCTTGTTTTGAGCTCACAGCTCTTCTCAGCACTGGACAGCAGCAACACTTACTTCACTTTCACCATATAAGTGAGGGTCAAAAAGGAAACATCTCCATTTTTATTTCTGAGCAAGTCAAACACTATTTTATTGAATTGCCATTATACTTGCCTTTTCTGTGTTTCAGTCTAGAGGTGCCAAAGCATATATATATTTATTTATGTATGTGCTATACCTCTATATGGGTGACTCTTCCTCATGGCTGAGAGCTACAGCATAGACAGATCCTCACCCCAGAAGCCATCAAATGAACTAAAATGCTGCTGTTTAATGTTACAAGTCTCCCTCCTCGAACGCTTCTCTCATCCTACAATGAAGTTTGCTAGAAGTGAATCAGAAAATAGAGCAGGCAAGGAGTGACACACCCAGATGTTTGCACACAGCTCCTTTACGTGCACAAGCTGCACATCTGACCTGGGGCAGTGGGTTTGCCTGGCCACCTGCAGCCACAGCTACACAGGGTGTGTGTGCAGGGACACTCACTGCACTGGGCCCAGGGAACCCCTGGCTACCTGCTGGGTGTTCAGTTTACTCCACACACTCATTCCCACACACATGAACACAAGACTACACCAAGATCTTTCAAAGACCACCTTCTCTGCATGCAACCGCCTCATCTTGCTTTGTCACATTCTCCCTGTGGGTAACACTTAGCAGAGCTGCCATTACACATAACCCTGAGACACAGAAATTCAGCTGTTTCTGGCAGGAGAAATGGACATTCCTGCTCCCAGGACAAGGCAGGTGGAGAAAGAGGAAAGAGTCTCACTTATTTCAGGCTGAAAATCCTCTCTAATAACCACAGCTCCATTTGCAAAGGTGAGCTCTGTTGACATGTTTGCCCGCTGTCAAGGTTGAATTTGTTTATGCCCCGAGCAGAGCGAGCACACGTGGCAGAGCAATCCAGCTCACCACGGCCAGCCCAGCACCCACTACCCTCACCTAGATGGAGAACAGGAATCACTCCCTTGGCACTGAAACCAGCAGCAGGCTGTCTGGGTGCTGACAGGCTTCTGACACATCCCCCTGCCATTTAAAAATGGGGCTGAAGACCCCAATCTATTTCCTAGGAGTTGTTAAAGAGCAGCTGGATATGAAGGGTCCCTAGAAACACAGGCAGGATCCCAAGCAGTGATCCAGGTACGGCACCTGCTTGGACTGGCTTGGTACAAGTTTCTACCATGCTACTCACAGCCAGTGCTCACTCTTAAAACATGTGGAACAAAACATGTACATGGGCAAACATGTGAGAACACCCCTCCTGAATAAGTAGCTTTAGGCAACAATTCCACTTGTAATGTCTGAGGAGGGAATTAATGAAGGCTATCAAGCGAGTTTGGGATAGAGAACACTCTTGGAAGACAAGTATTTTGGAAGATGGCATTGTGCAAGAAGCAATGATTTCACTACAATGGAAATAAACCAATGGGGAATCTTCTGATTGCAACAGAAGAACCACGGGAGGGAAATGTTATTTTGTAGTATAGAGTAACCATGCTGTGGGTAGCAAAGATGCCATCATCCTTTGCTGAAACCCTCATCATCCTGCAAAAACATGCATCTTCTGTTTAGGTAGGGGTTTATGCATGTGGCCCCTCCCTATACTTCAGATCAAAGAAACATTTGGGGCAAAATGACCATCACCTTCAGTCACTACCCTGAGGGAGCAATTAAGACAAAGGACCAAAAGACAGGGAAAAAAAGCACAAAAATGCTACAGGCAAACAGATGCATCACCACCCCAAGAGAAAATTATTCGTTTCCAATAAATTCATGTAATGTTTTGTAGATATTGAAAATATTCCAAAGCATAGCTCAGTGTAAACAGCAAGCTGGGTCTCCTCCTGCTCTTTAGCATTTCTCTTTGTTTACTCTCCATTTGAGGATAGAAAAAGCCTACATGTGAGCACTGCAAATGGTGTATTTCAGGATGGATGGGATATTCAAAAAGGAAGCAATGAAACACAGACACATGTAGCCTCCAATAAAATATTATGTAATTTGCCCAAGCCACCAGGGTCAAACAAACTGGAAAAAAAAAGCAACAGTGTCTCCTTATGAATGCTTCTTATTTGTGTGTGGAAATAATCTGATACCATGGTGATGGGAAGACTACATACAGATTAGAGAGAGGCACAAAAAAGACATTCTGGGGTGTGTGTGTTCTCACCCTCATTGCCTTCTTGCTCCCAAACCCCAGGAGTAGAGTTCCTGTGGGGAATTGCCCTGGCAGTGCTTCTGGAAGCAGTGCCCAGCCAGGCCAGTTCACTCATTGCAAGGAGAGGCACTTGGCTAGAGACGCCAGCTCCCATCTGTGAGCCCAAATGGCTCTGCTCAGCCCCTGCTCATCTCAGGAGCGCTTGGCACGTTCATCTGGTCACAAAAACAGCCCTTACCTTTGGCAATCAGCTCCTCCAGCTCCTGGTCGAATCCTTGTCGGTGGCATTTCCTCCAGAGCCCCATGTTGGTGGAGTTGTACTGTCTGTTGCACTCGTCGACAGCGCTCATAGCAAAGATCTGCCTCCTGTTCCTTGCCAAGAGGAGTTTCCCTTCCCAGCGGTCCAACCTAGACCTGCTGGCCCTGAGAGGCAGGTTGTTGTTGGAGTTATAAATGAAGCCAGGATCATTTCTCTTAGTGGTGATGCTCTTGCACCTCTCTCTGTGCTTCCTGGCATCAGTTTCGTACCAATGGTCAGAGCAGATCGCCACAGCCAGCATGCCAAGGGCACACAGAGCTAAAGAGAGGCCAGCATAGAGCAGTAACCTTCCAGCAGCCATGCCTCAGCTTCACAGAAACACCATGGACATCTTCACAACAGGCAAAGCCACTGGGGGTGAGAGCACGCAAAAACCAGCGGAGCAGCTGCTGGGTGTCACTTGGCACAGACCGCCTCAAACATCCCCAACTCCCGTGGCTCACATCCACGCTGCAGAGGGATGCTGAGAGCACTACAAAGTTCTGCCCTGGAGGCAGTCTTGGAGTCTCATCTGCCTCTTCTCCTCTGCAGAGGAGACCTGGTGAGGAGAAACACAGCCTTTCACCACGAGCACCCCAGTGGCAGGGGCTGAAGGGATGAATGCCCCTGAAGAGACCCGATGGCTGATCAGTCCATCAATCTCGTTCAATCTGGCCCACCCAGAAATCCAGGAGAGACAGCTTCGGATCACTACAGCATCATCACAGGACAGAAAAGTTCAACAGCCTGACATCTCCCACTCGCAAGCAGCCAGTTGTCCCGGTGTCAGGAACGGGTGACTCGCTTTTCCTTTGTCAGCGGCTCAGCAAGAGCATCATCGTCTGGACGGCCGGTCACTTGCTTGGGTTTAAAGCGGGGTCGAAAGGGAGGGAGCGGGAGGGGGGGAGCAATCTGTTGTTGTTGTCGCCGCCGCTGCTGCTGTTTGAGATCGTGGTTAAAGCATCCCCTGCCCGGCTGCCTCAGGGAACGCGGGCGCGCTCGGCTCTCTCCCTCAGCAGCCTTCGCCGACAGCCGCTGGCATCCTGGCTTCGGAGACACCTCGGCTTCTCTCTGCCAGCCCTGCCCATTCACTCTCCCGCTTTAGTCGGCGGCGCTGTCATCCGGGCAGCCGAACGCGGCTCTGCCTTCCTTCGCGGGCAGCCCCGGCTCCGGGCCGGGCAGGAGCCGCCGCCGGCGCGCTAGGCAGCGCGGGGGGCTGCCCTGGGCCCCGGCATCCTTCCTCCCTCCCTCCACACACGCTCGCACACAGACACGCTGCTGCCCCCCCTTCCGCCGGCAGCTGCAAGGCTTCCTCCGTCCCCGGCGCTGGGATGTGTTGTGCACAGTTTTCCTAACACGGCGGCACGTTAGCCATCTGCAAGATGAAGGCAGGCAGGGCTACGGCTGGCGGAGAGGATGCTGAGGAACGGGGAGGGGAAGGAGGGAGGGAGGGAGGTCGGGGGAAACCGAACCAAAACAAACCGGGGCGGAGGGGCGGAGGTGGGGGGGAGCCACACACCTCGCACGGGGAGAGGAGAGCAGCCCCTAACTGTTGTCAACAGCTTCAGGGCTGCACCATTTCTCTGCCATATGGCCCGATCTCCTCGCCGGAGCGGAGGTTTTTTAGCTCAGCAGCTTCGTACGGATCGTATCCCCGGCATCGGTAGTTACATATTCAGACATACTTTTTTTTCTCCTTAAATGTTCACTCCCTTTCTCTTTAATGGGAATAACTCACCCATCTTGTAGAGATCAAGTGCAACAGAAGGCGAGCTGGAGTCCCCAAGCTTGAGAAATCTCATTTCACCGTTTTTAACCCAAATAATAGCAAATCCAATCTTCTGTACACCTGGGAATGTTTCCTTGTTCAAACACCGAGCCCTGCAGCCTTGGCCGAAGCCTACAGACCGAGCATACAGAGCGCTGAGCCAAAAGCCAGTGATGTCACCCATGCAACGTGAGACTCATTTCTTATTTCTCTATCCTCCTTAAAGATAAACTGCACCACTTCCCAGGCAGGAAATGTCGAAGCCTTACTCTCTTAAGAGGGGAAAACGTAAAACCTGGATTTAGCTGGATCCTGATCATTCTTGATCACAAGCCCTTACATTATGTCAACCAAATCCAAAACAAGCGGAGCCGTTTCTCACTGCACCAAAAAATAAATCCCAACCTGCTACATAGTAGAGAGAACGAGCTTGAAAGAAATCCTGGATTCTAGACCTTCTGTGTGATCCACAGAGCTAAGGCCTCCAGACTCTGAAATGCACTGCTTAAAAAAATACACATGTTCATTTCCCTTGCACCAAAAAGGGCTGGGAGCTGGCACCTCCTGACCTGTGAGTGCCACAGCATCCTGCAGCTGACAGAGGGACCAAGTCAGCTCCAACCAATATTTGGCTCCCACTGACTCCACGGCATGAAAGGCAAACAATGCAGCTGCTCCTACTGCACCAAAAAGTCCACAGCCCAATGCCTCCCCACAGGTGTATGCTGCAAAAATCTACATCCACGCTGGATCCCATCAGCTTGTGGCCCCTGAATCCCAAGCTGTGTCATCTGAATTGAAAATGAACACAGCCTTTCTGGGGCTGGTGACAGCTCTTGGCCCCAGGAGGGGAGCCCTGGGATTTTGCTAACTTTTAACCCTAGCCACACAAATTATACTTGCTCCAGTGGGGAGAGCAGATGTGATAGCTCTTTGTGTATCAGAAATACATACCTGGATTGTACGTGGAATACAGCTGCACCAGGAAAAAATTAACCCATATGGCTGGATCATAATGATTTGGTTTGGTGCCAAAAATTGTATTATAGAAAAAACCAAAGTACCTCCCATTTTACCTGGCAAAACCAGGGTCCATATCAACTGGGATTTGCAGCTATGGAAGACTATCTGTGTCATTAAACCATTTTTTGTGTGAAATGTACTGTATTCTCTAACCACCTCACAGGGTTATGAAACTGGCAAAGAAAAGTCAGTCATTCAAACCATAAAGGTTATAATCACCTGCATCTACTGAGCCAGATGTATTGCAAAATTTCAGTGTTGTGTTATGAATATTCACTGTATCTGGAAAGGTCTAGGTAAACTTAAGAATTTTACTGGAGAAAGGAACTAGTTTCATTTTTTTAGCAGTAACTTCCCTTTGTTGTTAATAATAACAGCCAATATTTAAGGATCTCAGGTTTTTTTAAAAATAGTTCAGCACAGATGGATCCACTTCTATAACTGGATTTTCCAAGTAACTACATGTCAGTAGATAAAAAGAATTAGATGTTACAGAGGGCCTGGAGCAGCCATACTTGTTGTCTCTTCAAAGATTAAATTTAGAGTTTCGTGGCCAAAAAGCTGTTGGCTCCTATAAGAAGATGATGGATATCGAGGTTTCTTGTATCACACCCACACAAAGACGAAAATGCACCTGAATTTCTTTGTCCATTTTTAGCATCAAGTCCCAGGCTGAAGGATGAGAACAGGGAACAGGCCTAATTTTACCAACCATATTTTTTGGCCAATTGTTGGATATTCTGTTCAAGCACAAGAGCCTGCCTGCTATGTTTATTCTCTATTTATATTGAACTGGAAAACAAAATGGGTTTTTGTCTAAGCATCCAGTTTAGACAGAACTGGAAGACTGGGACTAGGAGCAGAATGGAGGACTCAGCTACTAGAACTGTTTTTTCTCATGGTGCTGGCCAAAGATATGTGAGATGATGGAAAAAATCATAATGGAATCGCACCTACATTTCCTTCTTGTTAAACAAGGATTACAGTCCAAAGGGCCAAGATTTGGTTGGACCCAGGGAGGTCCAGGTGCCAGGTTTTCCAAGACAGTTTGGGGCAGGAGGACTTTTATACCTGAAGAAGCCAGACTTGTTCCCTCTTCTCATTCTTAAGCCTGCGTTTGAAAGCCAAAAATTGACATTCAGTTCCAGGTTTTATCTTTTTCTCTGAAAAGGCATTTTACTGGCAGTTTCTATGCTTTTTTTTTTTTTGCTTGCATTTGTACCTTTATCAGATGCAGTCTACAAGTCACCTTAAACATATAACTATAAAAGAAATTGTTGGATTTTAGCTCCTCTTTAACTGTCAGAATTAAAGATTTTTTCCCTTCATCATCATCCCTATTCTTTTTTCAGGAGGGAGAATATTGCTTGCTGCAGGCATCAGGAGCCTTCCCTATGTCTCTAACCAGAATTGTTACAGACAGACCCTTCTCAGCACAAACAGATCATGATTAAATTTTCTTCCTCCCACCCCACCCCTGCTTCACCACAGGGGGAAAAAACCAGTCCTTGTCGATGAATGTAAGCTGGGAGAAAGACATTTAAAAATAAATAAATAAAAAAACCCCACAACCCCTCCACGCACACTTGGGCACGCCACATGGAAACCGCTCCCTACAGGGAATTAAGGACATCTCCGCAGTGGGAGCTAATTCACGGCTCTTAAATGAACCAAGGGCTGAAAATGCAGTTTCAGCGACGGAACGAGAGCTGAGGCTTTCCTTTCTGCGGGTTACGATTCCAGTGATGCGCGGAGAAAGGCAGAGAGCCCAGGAAAACATGTCTGAAGGAGCGGGACAGCGAGCGCAGCCCGGTGAGTCCCCCTGGGGCGATCCCTGTGCCCAGCCCTGGGCTGGAGCTCCCTGCGGACAGAACCCTGCAGCCAGGGCCGCCCTGCTCCCCAAGCCCGCCCTGCATCCTCCCCGAGCATCCTCCCGCGCCCAGAGAGCTGCAGGCACAAAAGCAAAGCCAGCGCCTCTATAAGGCACACAGAGGTGGGAGCTAGGAAGGGGAAGGGCAGAGTAAATGGACCGAGTAAATGCACAACCGATTGTAATTTGCTTTTCTTCGTCCGTTGTTTTGGTTTGGTTTTCTGGGGTCTTTCCTCCATCAAAATGACCTCCACCATATTTTTCTTCCTTCGTCTTTTTTCTTTTTTTTTTTTTTTTTTTTCCGTTTAAAGAAAAAGAACTCAGTGCCATCTAGTGGGGGAGGGGATGGAGCAAGCCAAGGTGCTGCCCATTCCCCGGGATCTGTACTTCTAATTCAGTTATTCAACAAGGAGAGATGACCCTCAGTATTTCCCTGCTCTCTGTGATCTTCAGCTCCCCAGAGGTGATGTTTAATTTTCATGGGCTCCAGCCTTCACTCTTTTTAAAGAATCACCTGCTGAAGCCAAAGGAACTCGTCCTAGTGTTGTATTACCTGAAGCAGTGTTGGCTCTGGAGGCAGTCTGCTGCCCTAATTACAGGATTTCAAACACAAGACAGCAATCAAACCAAACACAGATATAACAAATTATGTCTACTAATATTTTTTATCATTCCGGTGCACCTTGAAGACTGGTCTCTGGGAATCCTCAGCATGTCAGCCCTTCTAATAACACAGCCATAAAAGATGCTACCATAAAAACATCTGGTGAGAACTCCCACAAACACTTGAACCATCATTCAAACAGATTTTGGGTGTTTAGGTGACTCAGAACCAAACAGAGGTTCTGTAAAGGAAGATCAGAACTACAAAACACCATATAAAAGTTTGTAATCCAAACCCCAGACATTAACCAGTTGTCAATGTCCTTTTATTTTTTTTTTACTAGAAAAAGAGTTTTTCAAAGGGAAGCATCAGCCAGCTGCATAAACAGAGGCTACACACACACAGAGAACAGGCACACAGCTGTCTATACACTCATGTAGCTGTGCACACACTGATATCTTGCTGCACACAACAGCACCTTGCTGGATGTCCTCTGCCCTCCCCACTGGCAACTCCCCAAAGAGATTAGTTCTGCTCTCCCCCGAAAAAAAAAAATTTAAAAAAATAGCATTTGGATAGCAAAGTTCAGCAAGTTAGTGAAAGCCAATTTAAAATCACCCAGTCACCCATGGAACATTAATTTGCCCAGCATACAAACACACTATGATACAATCTTTAATAACACAATTTTTGTTTCCATGGGCCTCCCATTTTTTACAGTGCAAAGGAGAAATGTTGCTCAGTTAATGAACACTACTCAAATTTTCTCCTATCCTTATCATCCAATGCGTGGTGCATGTACTATTTATTGCAGAGCATCCAGATCTTGCATTGCATACAGAATTATTAATTTCCTCATGGGCTTTTCTACAGTGGTGCTCTAATTGTAGCGTTGGAGGGCTGGGGGGTTTTTTACAAACATCAAGGAACTTATCTTCACAGCTCCCTGCTGAGGGACAGAGATAAAAGGCAGTATTTTCAAACATGTCAGTGTATTTTGGGTACTCTATTAAAGGAGCTTGGAACCTAAATTTCCAGAGTACTTAGCACCTTCCTTCCTCAGAGAACAGCTCACAGCCCCTTTTGCTCCAGGCACAGTGGGCAGTATTTCCACAAATCAGTCATGGGTGACTGAAAGTGGACACACAGAAAATGGGGACCACATGGACACATTGTGGGGAAGAAAGTAATTTTTTTGAGTCACCAAGTTTCATAACAGCACATTTCACCAAAGGGTGAAATAAAATGCAATTTTCAATTTCAATTCAAATGCCAGTGACCATGATTTTTCCTGCCTGTCCTCATCTGCTAGGCTCACCACTCAGCCTCCAAACTGTCCACTGTCATGGACATGTTTTATGAAAAATCCTTTCCTTAGGATTTTTTCTCCCGAGAAGCTGAGAGGCCTCAGGAACAAAACGTAAACATTGATTATCTGCTGCTGTGGAATGCAACAGGTGCATCTGTGATTGGTCTCATGTGGCTGTTTGTAATTAATGGCCAATCACAGTCAGCTGGCTCAGGCTCTCTGTCCGAGCCACAAGCCTTCATTACTCATTATCACTCTTCCTTTTTTTATTCTTAGCTAGCCTTCTGATGAAATCCTTTCTTCTATTCTTTTAGTATAGTTTTAATACAATATATATCACAAAATAATAAATCAACCCTTCTGAAACATGGAGTCAGATCCTCATCTCTTCCCTCATCCTAAGACCCCTGTGAACAAGGTCA